TCACCTTTCCACGTTCTCGAGGTTGTATAATCGCAAAAATTTTCGAAAATGAGATTATTCCTTAGATGCTATATGTATATAATGAAAAGCCGTGTCACTCGTTTCCGTCGGTGTACAGACTGATTATCCGTCTGTCTGTCCGTTAATCCTTTGCCCGTCGATAACTTGGAAATTACTGTTCGTACTTGGATACTTGGATGAAATTTTCACATAAAACTACTACTATGCCAAGGACGAAAAGCCTTTTAGATTTTGAAAATCATAGCAGTGGCGGCTCAGCTACGGACAAAAAAAGCCATATATAGAAATTTGATGCACTGGACACTGTCGAGTCATATACATGCTAACAGTAACTACACGCAACGCGGGCGCGGTGGTGATTTCTCGTAATTCTCCTCAAAGTTTTTGAAAACACAACAAAAGGGGAAAAATCGTAATTTATAACTTTGACCATAACCTGTCTTCAGAAAGGACAACATAAATAACATGTGGGGTATTATAGCTAATAGATATGCTTTATTGGCAGCATGTTCAGTAATCATTTTCTCACATAGCAAATATCTCTGATTTTGAACACCTGCAGACCAATACAAATAATCATCCAGATGCGATCTTAATACTCAACCGACTTTCTTTCTTTCACATCTTCTCAGAGATAAACACTGTTTGGCTTTCTGCAACCAAAAATGAATGCTTGAGCGTGTCGAGGAGTCATTCCTCCATAGAGCTTTTGATGACGCTCACAGCAATCATAGCGAGGAACCGTGGAAGAAACTATTTTCACAGTAAAAACTACCTAGTCTGCAAGATTGACGTTTTTTAGGTTTTTTACATAACACCCCTGACGGCAGGGCTTAGAACTGGTGGTTAATTGTATGAGCTTATTTTACTTATTTGAGTTCCTTTGGTATACGTCTTCATAAGAGGGGATAACTTATTCCGAAAATGACCTTTTATGAACAGATGACAGCGTGGCGTGGGACGTGCAAAGTGAATATACTTAAGGCAATTTTTTAAGCGGGAGATTAATCAAGATGTTAGATGTAATGAAACAGAATGAAATCCATTGAAACGTAGTTGAAAGCATGCACGCCGGCACGGCATCAAGTGAACTGTGTAGGAGAAGGATGGGACCACCATGGCACAGATGCCGAGAGATACCGGCTAATAACCAGCATCAGCAGAGAAGCAGAGCAGGCTAGCAACACACGGCAACATGCTAAGTAGCCGACGCTTACGGACGATCAATCAGTCTCCTGATGAGACGAACCGCACAGGGCCATTCGCGATTGTTCTGATTTCTTGACTAGTGGTGCCCGAAGGCTCTGAAATTCTAGACGTAGAAGTCACTTCACATGCAGGTATTGTAATCGAGAAAAACTTAAAAAAATGAGATGTTTCTTGGATGTTATATGACATTCAGGGTGTTTTAGAAGGATGTGTCATTATTTGTAGGGTAGAAAGAACATCCAGAAATATCCCCTACTGAGATACAGGGCCAGGAAGTTTTATTTACGAAACTGAAAATAGAATTTATCTACGGAGCGGGTAAATATACTGATTTAAGCTTTCGGACGTTCAGTGAGCACAACAAAAGCAATAAACACACAGAGACTCCTGGCACAAACAAAACCAGGGACGTAAAGACTGGGGTACCTCAGACAGGCTAACTTGTGCTGAGCTTAATATTTAACGAACAGATGACAGCGCTGCGAGGGAAGTGAGGAGTCAGCCTACTTGACGCTATTCTTTGAGAAGCCTCACATCGTGTCCCGTACTGCATTTTTAAAACAAAAAATCTTTGCTCATATTTTTTGGATCCCCTTGGAAATTCGCACCTTTTCGGATTTCGTTGGATTGATCTGGATCTGCCTGGATTACTTTAGAGTTCCCTAGATTTACCCAAAACTCCTCCCACTGGGATAAACAATTTTCACATTTATTCTCGGATACTTTCTCCGAAAGTTGGAAAAATCTGCTTGGATAACGTCGAATCTGTTTGAATTGCCTAGGCTCGCTTTGGATTACTTTGAATTTCCTTAGATTGTCTCTGGTCTCCTCTCACTGGGATACGTTCTTGGATTTTTGCCCAGTGGAGAAAAAAATCTCCTAGGATAACAATAATATTTATTTACTCTAAAATATAGGAAACATGAAACGAGTAAATAAATATAAAATATCCATAGGAGGACAACGCCTGTGTATGGATCATATTATGTACGTTGAATTGCAAAAGGAAAAAAAATAGAGAGAAAAAAAATTATTGAGCATTTATTGTGTAATATTTGAGATTATTCTATTAATATGATTTCTCCCAATCGTATTAATAATTTTTTTAATTTTTTTTTGAAACCTAGTGTATTGCGAATTGTTTTAAATTATTTGGTAAATATTCATACAACTTTGGAGCTAAATACAGGTGACATAGTTTTATTAAAGATTTGTTTGCTTTTGGAACATTTTTTGCTCGTAATTTATATCTGGTGTTAGGACTATGTTTAATTATGTCGCGTTCACTAATAATTTTGTGATAATGAGTGATGGTATGTAAGAAGTAAAGTTGTTTAGTATCATATACTTGTTTATGATTATACACCTATAAGTCATTAGTTGATATACAATTTTGATTTGCCAAACATTGATTTTAAAATTGTTCTGTGAAGCACATCTATATCGTTAAGGTATGTCGTGCATGCAGCACCCCATACTACTATATCATATGTTATGTGCGGCTCGACTAAAGCTTGATATATTATTCGTAGATAATATTCAGTTAATATACCGGTTACATCCCATCTCAAGTGGGGATCTAGATGAATTCCTAAATATTTTGTATCATTAACTCTATTGATTTTTAGATTTTTATCATTTACCTTAAAGCGAAGGTGGTTATATTTTGGTAGATGATTAGATAGTGATGAAAATGGTAAAAAATGAGTTTTAGTAAAGTTAATTGTTAATTTTCGGTTATTAAACCACTGAATAATTTTGTAAAAGTCATTTTCGATAACATCATTAAGTCGTTCCAATCCCTTCCTTTATAGAGTAGTAGAGCAGTGTCGTCTGCAAAACTGACTATTTTACCAGCACTATTAATTTTGAATATATAGTTTAAATAAATATTGAATAACAGAGGACCCAAAATTGTACCTTGTGGTACACCACATTTAACAAACATTTTTTTACTATATGAGTTTAATAATTTTACTGATTGCGGTCTATTTGATAAATAATTTTCCATTAAAGTATACATCTTTCCAACCTATTCTTTCTAAGATTTCCAAAACTATATTGTGGTGAACTGTGTCAAACGCTTTTTGTAAATCCACAAATATGGTTATCGATGGTACTTTTCCTGGGTAATTTCATCTGCTATACTTAATACCCCATCTGTTGTAGATTTGCCCGTTATAAGACCATATTGATTTGAATTTAAAATTTTGAATTTATTAAGAAAATTAATCATTTTATTAAGGAGTAATTTCTCAAAAACTTTAGCTAAACTTGATATAAGTGAAATAAGCCGATAGTTAGTGACATCCGTATTATCATTAGCCTTATAGATAGGTATTATGATTGCTGTCTTAAAAGCTGATGGAAACCCTCCAGATTGAAAGGATTTGTTAATGATATAAGCAAGTGATTCTGTTATTTGTTTTTCCAGTATCTTTAGATGTTCAGCTCTAATTTTTCGTCAACTCCAGGGCTTTTTTTATTTTTCAGAGTCATAATGGCATTGAAAATATCTTGATAGTCTACTTCAGTTAATATAAATGAATTATTCAGTCTTGTTTCATGCAGATGAACATCAATATTTTGTTTGATGTTATTTTCTCCTATATTCGTGAAAATTTCTATGAACTCGTCACATATTTGCTGAATATTGTCTGTTTTCTGTCCTGTTTTTGTTTTTATTTCATTAATATTGTTTTTTGAATAGGATGACTTATTGAATATATCATTGACCGTGGACCATAGGTGTCTAGAGTCATGTGAATTATTATTCAACTCTTTTAAATAGTAATTTTTTGCTTTTCTCAAAAGTTCTATAAATTTGTTTTTATACTGATCTATATTTTCTTTTGTGGGTAAATATTTCATGATTTCATACAGTCTTTCTTTTTCGTTTGCAGATTTTATTAGTCCTTTGGTCATCCAATCATTTCTGTTTTTTTCCTGGTGACTTAATTTAACCTTATTAGTACTAACTTCAATTACTTTTTGAATTTTGCGTATCAAGAAATTTGTAGCTTCGTCTACAGAATTTGTTAAAAAAAATCGTCTCACGATTCCGTTTGTGCGTTAAATATTAATTTTGAGTTGTCAATGAAATATTTGTATTTAAGGTTTCTTTCATTTTTTGCCATTCGGCAGTTCTGGTTTTTATTTTGTGAAGATATCAATAATACAGTGGATTAATGATCTGTAATATCGGTTTCATAGATAATAGGCATGTAAGAAAAAATATTGGAGATATCCTTTATAAAGCAGTGATCAATGCAGGTTTTACTGGTGGGTCGTGTTCCTTTATTTATGTATGATAAAAAACCATTACTTGATAAAATGTTTAAATATTCTTTCACCATAGAATCTTCCTCTAAAATGTTTATATTGATGTCGCCTATAAATATTTGATTTTGAAGATGATTGTTTTTTAACAGGTCATCTATGTCTCTTATAAATGTATGAAGATCTGAAGATGGTGGCCGGTAAACACAAGTAATTTTGACTCTACTATTTTCAATTTGTATTGTTAGATTGATACCTTTTAGTTCATTGTTGATTGTAAATATGGTATGGTTAACAGGAAGATTGTTTCGTACATACACCATCACTCCATCGTTTTGATTATGTTTTGGATTAGACCTCTTTGGATTACTTCGGATCTCCTTGGATTACTTTGGATTTCCGTAGTTCACTTCGGCTGGTCGGAGTCCAGATCACCGAGGGCTTGATTTGGCACTACATATCTTGTCAATAGTGTCAATTGCTGGGAAAAGCTAGGCTATTTGTTTAGGGCTAAGAAGTACTATTCTCCACCTGGCCTCCTCACTCAATACAAGGCCCAGATAAGACATAGCGTCGAGTATTGCTCACACGTTTGGGGTCCTGCCGCCCCAACTACATTATTTAGGCTCAATGCTATGCGTATGATCGCCGGTTCTTCTCTAACAGCCAGTCTCGGGACCCTTTCGCGCCAGCGGGCCGTCGGAGATCTAGCTCTCTCCTACAGCTACCCAAAAGGGCTTTGCTCATCAGAGCTCTCCTCCATGATGGCGCCGCGCGATGTGCCTACCAGACAGACCCGCCTGACTTCGGCCTCCCATTCTAACCGTATCGAACTTCGTACATCCAGTACTGGCCTACATGACCGTTCTTTTGCTCTGAGGGTGTCGAGATAGTGAAACAATCTACAAGAGAAAACTTTTCCTGTTCTACTAACCTTAGGCAGTTCAAAAATAGTATTAACAAAATTTCTTGGGTATCCTCATGACAGCCGCGGTGTCTGGCATTTAGGCTTCTATATGCCCGGCTGCTTCGGATTTCCTTGGACTCTTTCCAGTGGAGTATAAAATTCCCGTGGATAGCCTTAGCTTGTCTCGGGTCTCCTCTCACTAGGATAGAAGATTTTCAGATTTTTTCGAATCCGTTCCCATTGAGGTAGGAAAAACCTCCTTGGATGATCTCGGACCTCCTTCGATTGTCTGAGTTCTCTTCTCTTCTCCCACTGGAATAGAAAATTGAGTTTCTCCTACTCTTTCCCATTAGCGTACAAAATCTCTTTGCATAACTCCCGATCTCCTGGAGTTGCTTCAGATCTGCTTGGATTCATTTCATAGAGCTCCATTGCGTGTACCAGATAGTCGTACAATAGAGAAGAATTTAAATGTATGTGTGGTTTGATGCAGCCCGACAGTGGAGTACTATGAACATGAAAACCACTGGTAATAATAATCCGGCTTTATTTATACAAAGTATTAAAAGGCGAAGTGTCGCTAAAAAGCGTGTTTCAACTTAACCCAACAAATATTTGTGTAAATTTTCTGATCCAAATGAAAACAAAAAGTTAAAAAAAAATGTAACGAGTCCCTATTCATGACCATGGTCTACTTACTGGGCAATGAAATCAGAGATAAAATGCTTCAATCTTTTTTAAATTTTTTATAGAGTAGTGAGTGAACTCTGTAGGCAACGCGTTGTATAATAATAATAATAATAATAATATTTATTCGCCAAAATACAAAAAATGGGCAAATAAATATGAAAAAACCACAGAAGGCGTCGCCTGTGTGTGGTTTATATCTTAATAACTAACAATCAATCATATATGTGTATAACAATTATTGTTAAATCTAAAAAGTATTAATGTAATTGGAATTTTATAGTTTTAGTTTTCTATATAATTATGTATAGTCATCCGCTGCACAGTACTAACCCAGTCTTTCAATTTTCTTCTAAATTTTTTTCCAAAATTAAGTATTTTTATTTCGTTTGGTACTACATTATATAATTTAGCTGCTAAGAATTTAAATGATTTTTTGAATAATGTTTTGTGTGGTCTTTGGATATTAGATGAGCCTATTCGAAATCGTGTGTTATGCTCGTGTTTATAGGATTTTTTCTTTTTATTACAATACTTATGGTATAAGGTGGTGGCATGTAAGAAATAAAGTTGTCTTGTATCAAGTATCCCTGTTTCTTGATATAAGTTGTTCGTTGGATATAATCTTGGCTTATGGAAAATGGCTTTCAAAACAGTTTTTTGTGCTATATTCAGGTCAGAAATATATGTCTTGCAGGCGGCACCCCAGGCTGTGATGCCGTATATTATATGGGTTTCAACTAAGGAATGGTATAGGATTCGCAGATAACTTTCTGTAAGAATGTTAGCAAGCATTTTGAGTTTATAGGCAACATTTCAAATTTTTTTGATAACATGTTTAATATGGTTATCCCACCTTAGATGTGAGTCCATAAATATTCCAAGATATTTCAAAGTGTTAATTCTATCGATTTTGGTCTTTTGGCCATGATAATTAACGGAAATTTGTTCGAAGGTAGGTAAAAATTTTGAATAGGATGTAAATGCAATAAATTTTGTTTTTTTGAAGTTAACTGTTAAAATTTTAGTATCAAACCAGTCAATGATCCTTATAAAATCCTTTTCAGCTATTTGCTTCAGTTCAACATATAATCTTTCCAGAACTGTTAATTTTGAATAAGTCATTTAAGTAAAGACTAAATAATAGTGGGCCTAGTACTGTTCCTTTAGGCACACCACACTTGATGTACATTTTTTTACTGTAAGTGTTAGTGATTTTGACGGTCTGTGCCTGACTTGAAAGGTAATTTTTTAAAAGGATTTGTGACGCTCCCCTAAATCCCAATCTTTCCATAACTTTCAGAAGCTCGACATGGTTAACCGTATCAAAGACATTTTTTAGATCAACAAAGATACCAATAGTAGGTATCTTTTTGTTGACATTAGAGTTAATTTCATCCATTGCAGCCAAAATTGCATCTGTAGTAGATTTTCCTTTTCTAAATCCATATTGGTCAGAACATATAATTTTGTTTTTGTCCAAAAATTGTAATATCCTTTTTTGTAGTAATTTTTCGAAAATTTTGGCTATATTCGATAGTACTGATTTATTTGCTTTCAATTCAGTTACAAATGTTACAGGTGAAATAAAAAACATGCAAATAAATATGAAATACCCAAAGAAGGCAAAGCCTCTGCGTGGTGAGATGTCTATCCAATATTCAGTCTATATCAGTATAATTGTCATTATAGGTACAATCGTCATAATCGGGTGTGCGACGAATCAGAGAATGTCATATTAGGAAGTTAATTTGCTTTAGCTGTTGCATACTTGGATATGCTTAACCTTATGTATATATTAAGAGCTTTAAAAAAATCCATGACAGTTTAAAAAAAAGGTTTTAATCGTTTTTATATGTACTATTTGAAAGAATTAGCTGATGTATGTGGAGGCGAGGTATTTCATTAATCCACTTTTTTAGTTCTTTTTTAAACTGCATAGAATTATACTGTTTTAAGATAATAGGCAAACTATTATAAAGCTTCGGTCCTAGGTATTGGAATGATCTCTTCATGACATTGACATGAGGCTTTGGTAAACATGCTCTCACTTTATGGTGAGTATCATAGTCATGCTCAGTTTGGCGTAACTTATGTTTTAATTGGTGCTGCTTCATGATGGTCTGGATGAAGTAGAGTTGTCGAATATCATAAACTCCGATTTCGATATATAGTTGTTCTGTTGGGTATATTCTTGGCTTATTATATATTACCTTTAGAATGTACTTTTGTATTGTCTCCAGATTTTTCATGTGTGTCTTACACGCTGCTCCCCACGCGATCACACCAGACCTCAAATGGCTCTCAACTAGTGAATAATAAAGTACTTTCCTTTGATAGAAGTCATAGTATTTCATAAGATTTTCAAATTTGTAAAGTATTGTACGCAATTTTTTAATTACGAAATGTATGTGCGTGTCCCATTTAAGGGTGGAATCTAGGTACACTCCCAGATATTCAACACTGCGCGAAGAAGTTAGTTTTAATTGGTCATTTTGGTTGTTCTTCAGTTTTATGTTTAAATTTGAATATTTCGGCATATATCGTTCACAGGATGAAAATGGGATGTAACAAGTTTTGTTGTAATTTACGGTTATAAGTCTAGAGTTAAACCATTTGATAATCTTGCAAAATTCTGTTTCTGCTAGAGTTTTTAGGTTTTCCCAGGTTTGAGAACTGTATATGATGGCCGTGTCGTCAGCAAAACTTATGATTTTTCCTCGATGTTCTTATAAATATAGTTCGTTAATGTAAATATTAAATAATATCGGTGCCAGTACAGTCCCTTGTGGTATTCCAAACTTCGCTGTTCTACCATCACTCAAAGTATCATTAATCTTCACATAATGTGTCCTATTTGATAGGTAGGATTTCATTAATGAGTATGCAGTGCCACGAAAGCCTACTCTTTCTAAAGCCCGAGGAGTTGATTGTGGCTAACTGTATCGAATGCCTTCTTTAGGTCGACAAAGACACATAGAGTTGGGTCCTTAGAGTTTATATTACTGGAAACCTTAGTCATAAGATCAAGTATTGCATCATCTGTTGACTTCCCTTGTCTAAATCCAAATTGTTTATTAGATATTATTTTGTATTTATCTAAGTAAGCTATCATACGTTTTTTCAGAATCTTTTCAAAAATTTTAGCTAACAAAGATATTAACGATATAGGTCGGTAGTTAGTTACTTCCGACCTGTCCCCAATTTTGTATATGGGTGTTATTATTGCAGTTTTGAATATAGCTGGGAAATGTCTCGGGCTAACCAAGATATGCTTATTCTTTGTGTTCAGTTGATTAACATCTGAGTATCTGATAAATTTGGTTGATGGATATGGAGGGGCTTGTGTTGTGATTACCTTATGGGTCAAGGTCAATACGTGCATTTTTTGTAGCTCTTCTATTCTTTGAACACTCAGCACACGATATTTATGTGACACTGTCTCAAATTTTCTCACTCCACAAGCAAATCTGAAGTCTGAAGTCTCCTCATATCAATCCATCTTAGTGCAGGCTCATAAATACAGACACAGTAGTGAATTCTAGACCATATTAAGGTTTCGCACCACTTTAGCTTGAGACCAGTATTCATACTTTTCCTATGATGAAATAATTGCTTCAAGACACCGAATGATGTTCGACACAGTTGACTAACGTGTTTTTCAAACTTCAAATCAGAATCAATCCAGAGTCTTAAATTCTTGCACTCATTTTTTATAGGGATCAGTTGATCTAAAATGCTCAATGATAGTAATGGTTTTGCCTGACTTTTTTTTATTTTTGGTCCAAATATAACTGCGGATGATTTTAACGGGTTAATTTTGAGATTATGGGCACAAGATACGTTAGATAAATTTATCAAATCATTATTAATCAAATGTTCGGCATTTTTTTAAATTTTAATATCCAAACCAACGTACAATTGAGTGTCGTCAGCATAGTGATGAATACTGCAGTGTTCAACGTACTCGTGGAAGTCAGAATTGTAAATTGAGAACAATAATGGTCCCAGAATGGAACCCTGTGGTACCTCTAGTTTAACTGGTATCTCCTCCGAGATACTTGATCCAATCACAACCATCTGACTCCTGTCAGTGAAATAACTTAATACCAAATTAATTGCAGATTCCGAAAAACCAAAGTATATAAGCTTTTTCACAAGAATAGATGGTTCCATAGTATCAAAAGCCTTTGTATAATCAAGTAACACAAGCATGCTAATTTTCTTGATCTACACAGCTGATTAAGTCATCCGTGATGCTAGCCAGAACCGTTGTTGTGCTATGGTTTATCCTGAAACCCGATTGGATTTCAGGAATGATACCATTAGATAAGACGTAGTCAGATACCTGATGTTTCATGGCTAGTTCTAATAACTTGGAATATGCTGTTAGTATATTTATCGGCTTCAGATGAGAAATATCTTTAGGGTTACTTATCTTAGCTAGGGGGAGAACATTTGCTTTTTTCCAACAGTTAGGGAAGTTTGATGATGCAATTGCATAGTTGATGACGGTTATATTTTCAATTAGCAAACCGAATATGATTGTTAGCATGTTTAGGTTGATTCCTTCAACACCCAGGGCATTACTTTTGATACTCCGGAAAAATCCCATTATATCGTAGCAACTAATTTGGGAGAATGTGAATCGTCTGGCTTGCTGGCTGGTGTTATATACTAAGTGACATATAAATCCGAACACCCAGTTTAAATGGTTTTATTTTAATAAAAGTTGGTGAATGTATTTATCTTACTGTAAATAACAAGTGAAAAAATGTTCTGCCTTATCAGTTGGACATTCCGGTTTTTATACTGCTTTTTTTTAATTCACTAACGCTCTAAAAATGAATATTTTTACCGCAGTAAAGAATCAACGTTGGCGGATTTTGGTTCTTGACATCCTTTACGATCGGTTACGATGCCTAGAGTACGGAGACCTGTACGATTTTGTCAACTTAGTGAGTTTGATAGGGGCCGTATAGTGGGACTTCGGGAAGCTGGACTTTCTTTTCGGGCAATTGCAGTTAGAGTGCAAAGAAGTGTAGACACTGTGGTTAGGTGTTGTCAGGCATGGCTTCGAGAAGGCCGTACGCAAAGAGCAAGGGGCACTGGACGCCGCCGTAGAACAACAGATCGTGAAGATCGCCGCCTAAGATTATTGGCCTTAAGGGACCGTTTCTCCACTACCAGGTCCATTGCAAATGAATGGTTTGCAGAACACGGAAGACCTATTGGCATGCGAAGTGTTTACCGACGAATGAGAAGTTTTGGCTTGTTTTCAAACCGGCCACACTGGGTCCTCCCTTTAACTCGAGAACACCGACGTAATCGCCTTGAGTGGTGCAGACAACGGTCACTCTGAGATCAGGAATGGAACAGTATTGTCTTTAGTGATGAGTCTCGATTTTGTTTAGGCATGCACGATGGTCGTGCCAGGGTTAGAAGGCGACGTGGTGAAAGGAAGAATCCACAGTCTTTTGTTGAAAGACATGTTCATCACACTGTTGGAGTTATGGTTTGGGGTGCTATTGCTTATGGTTCCAGGTCACCTTTAATCTTCATCAGAGGTAACATGAACGCGCAGCGTTATATCCACGAAGTTCTAGAACCCCATCTTTTACCCTATCTTGACACCCTGGCAGATCCAACTTTCCAACAAGATAATGCCCGACCACATGTTGCAAGAGTCACAATAGACTTCTTTCAACATAATGATATCACATTGTTACCATGGCCACCAAGATCTCCCGACTTATCCCCAATTGAGCACGTGTGGGATATGATGGGTAGGAGATTGCTCAATTTGCAACGTCCTCCTCAGACTCTAGAAGCACTTCGAGAGGAGTTGGTGGTTGCCTGGAATGAGATACCACAGGAGGACATTGACCACCTGATCAGAAGCATGCCTAGGCGCGTTGGAGAATGCGTAGCACATCAGGGTGCATCCACACATTATTAAAGGTCAAAGGGCTTTAAAGCAGCGCAATCATTTTGAAATTTTTATCATTTAGTTATTATGCTTCATTAAGTACTTATACAAAATTTTATTAAAATAAAACCATTTAAACTGGGTGTTCGGATTTATATGTCACTTAGTATATTTATCCAGCAGTTTCATTTGTAACTCAGACTTAACAATGGTAGGTAAACTAGAAAAATACTTATTTATGTCATTAACGTCCTTCAGATGGTCCGATAACTCTTTCAAGTTGCTGCTGATGATGCTAAGTCTCCGAAGACACTTCCAGGTAGCCCTATTGATAGCCTTCGCAACTTCATTGCGCATTTCTTTATAGAAAACCCACTTGCCTACCTATTCTGCTTGTACTTATTATATGCCTTATCTCTCGATTTCATCATTTCTTTTATATTATATGTTAACCATGGTGCCGGAGACTTTGATATCCTAACAATCCTTACTGGTACACTAACGTCAAAAAGTCTATTCACGTTATCATTCAGAAAATATACCATTTCGTTCGCATCTTGCATGTTGTTGTATATCTGATCCCAAGGAATCAAATGAAACATTTCAAGGAATTTTTGCTGGTCAAAGTGTTTGAAATCACGGAAGGTGTAATGTCTAACTTTGTTACGGATTAGTGCAGTAGTAATTTCGCATGTAATGATACAGTGAACCGAGATATTGTGGGACGGTAAAACTTGAACATCTCTAGTGTCTTGGTCTTTAGAGCAGATAATCAAATCTATTAGAGTGTTCGAAAGCCCTGTGATGCGTGTAGGCTCATTAACAATTTGTTTTAAATCAAAGGATTCCAGCAAATACAATAGCATATCGTTTGCAGGTGAATTAGCAAGCATGTTTATATTTAAATCTCCTAATAATAGAGCGGAATCTGAATCTAGAAGCAAAGTTACCAGAGAAGATTCTAGAATGGTTGTTGCCTTGGACTGTCTCGAATCTCCTTCGAGTGGGGTATCAAATATCAGGATATCTTAAGTTTATTTGCCAGAAAATCTGCTTTTACAATATCAAAACCCCTAGAATTGCCCAGTCATATTTGATTGGGATAGAAGATATGCGTAATCGAAGAATCAATCAAAAAAGAAATAAAACGTATTAGTATCTGACCTATGTTCATATAAACCTTTTATCTTAGGATCGCCAAAACAATGGTCATTTAAAGTTTGACCCATAACTTAAATATCACTCCCTATTATAGATAAGAATGTAATACAGAAATTAATGCACCTGACCAATTATAAAGGCAGGTTTCAGCTTCGTCGTTCATTTTTTATCTCTTCGGATACCAGCATCAGTCCAAATACGGAGTTGATACCAATTACTCTAAAAAAATGAAACTTATCAGTCGGATCTGCCCAATGCTAAACTCCCTATATATGAGCTTTTAAAGTCATAAGCGTACGTAAGTTGATTATAACTTTGCGATTGAGATTATAACTATTTTAATATGGCTTCTTTCTTCTTTGATGTTTCTTTCGCTCTCTTCGGTACTTCTATACAGGGTGTCCTGAAAGTTGGGACTTTTCTTATGAGAATCAGCTACGCTTGAAATAACAAAGCTGATGTGTGGCGGAACAACAGCGAAAAAATAAAAAGAAAGTAACTAAAGTACGGCTTTGTCATTTATAACTATTATTCGGAATGTTCGCCATGAGTAGTGACGTAGGTATGTCGTGCCATCTCACCTTTGTTCTGATGGAGATACAGGAGCGGTTTAAGTTTGACTAATTTTTCGGAGCTTAATACCACTTTACTGTATATGCTACTAGAAAAAACTGCCTATTTTTCTTCCTAGATCCATGCGCCGTGTAAAGGAAAGTTCCGAACTTGCTTCTTTGTGCAGCCAGCCAACTCATACGATATATCTGCATCTCACCTACTATCCAGCTACGTTCTGATACATTCCCGGTCATTAGTAACAAAAATTACATGCGTTAACAAAGCATTCAGTTAGGTTTCAGTTGTCTACATTCGGCAAGAAGGAACTAACCTTTAGAGCGAATTGTTGGCTCCTTTTGAATTTGTGTCTTAGAAACGGCTGTCGCTACAGCCGAAGTGTAAGTTTCTTTTACAGAAATATGTTGTTCCTGCTCGAAAAAAAAATGTATTCATTTATATAAAAAATAATCTACTTAGATCGGAACTATATGGAGGATGGTCCAATAATTCCACGTATTCTTCCGTTAAATACTGCCTTGTTCTTTTGGGCTGTGTGCAAGCTTGCATTGTCTGGGTGGAGGATGATTCTTCTTTCGAGGTTGATTTTTCGAAGTTCGGTGATGACTTTTGGCAAACAAACGGTGGTATACGAATCCGCAGTAACAGTTCATGGCTCGTTAAGAAGAATTTTTCGAAACACTTCGAGAACGGATGACTTTTGTTGGCTTTTCTTTACCTTGGAACACCCAAACAGCCGACTGTCGTTTATTTTCTGGTTCATAACAGTAAATCCACGATTCATCACCACTAGCAATGCAGTACACATTTTTTGAATTACCGGAATTGAAACAGTCAAGCGTTTTTTGACACCAATTAACCCTGGCTGCTTTCTGCTCTTCAGGCAACAGGTGGGGTATCCAACGAGAAACTAATTTTCTTACTCCTAATTCTTCATGTAAAATTTTTTGAATTGAGGTCTTTGAGATCTTCAAGGACGCCTCAATTTCGCGATATGTCACATGTCTATCTTCAATGATGAGTTTGCGCACAGCATCGACGTTTTCCTGGGTGACTGCCGCCCGTCCACGTTTGAATTCTCCCTACCAACGGGAAATTGTCGACTGATGTGGCGCTTCGTTGCCGAAAACAGACAGTAACTCAGCAAGGCGTTCTTGTTGCGATAATTGTCTTTGAAAGTTGTAATAAATTATGGCGCGCAAATATTTTCGGTTGAGTTCCAATTTTCTAATGACTTGGTGACTCTTAAAAATTCACTGTAGTGAGAACGCTGCACGTATTGTTGTGAAACTTTGAATTTAAGTTTACTAAAGAGTGAGGTTAAGATTCAGTACTGACCTTCGATCCGCGCGACCTACTATGTTTCTATATGCAAAACTTAAAACACATCCCTCCTAAATTTCAAAAAATACTTTAAAGGTCCTGCAATATAAACACAGATAATACACAGGAAAAAATTGCACACATAATTAGAGATGAAAAAAGGGGTTAGTTATGATTGAAGAGTGTCATCCAAAAAGTCTACAGCTATGATTAACTATTGGAAGTGGATAATTCCAATAGTGGTGTCTAGAAATAATGACTAAACATAGTTTTGTACAGAGTATCGAGCTATGATTTAATCACCCTCTAACTCTTTTCTACTCATAAGAAAAAACATTTACTGTAAGAGTTGGATGGTCTAGTATAAAGTTTTTCGTGTCATATCTTTTTTAGGTACCATGTGTCACAGGGTGCCATCAAATAAAGTTGTATTTTCGCATTGGAGCAGCCTGTATCTTTTTAGTGAAAATGAGTCGCTTTTTTCTGATTCCAGGTCTATGACGTTTGTCATACTTATTTTCGTTAGTTTGTTAAAAAACTTAAATTCTGTGTGTCTTTATTCGTGCATATTGTATATCTTTGTACTTACATTTCTAGTCTTCATATTAATTTGAAAACTTTTTAAACAAATACTACTTCACCCCCTTTCACCCTCTGCCCCATAGCGTCATCTCCTTATGAACTTTAAATAAAACGGGGTATGGAGTAATATCTTGTTTGAAAGGTGTTTCGAAGTCCATTTCTATAGGTCCTCTTCGTCCTCTCCATTTATCTGGAAACTCGTCGTCTAGCCATTGCCGAGCCGGAAGAATATAATGAGGAGGAAATATGTTTCAGCCTCATCAAGTATAGGGCTTCCGTCCTCTTCGATTTGGTTTTCAGTGGTTTCAGTGATAAGCGGATTGACGACATTTTCCAACATATCCAAATCTTCCATTAATGAACAATGCCCCTATTATTTGTTTCCTAAAATGCCTGCTCAAATATTAATTTTTTGGAGTTACTGGATATGCCCTTCTACATTCTATAAAAGCATTAGGATATCCATTGCTCCCATACCTGCAGTTATGCTTAACAATTCTATTTAGATAAGATGTGCATTCATCACTGAAGCAATAATTCTTTACGTCAAGGGGATTATAATTAATCGCTACAGTCATTTGGTCACAAAACTCAACTCCCCTATCGAAATCATCTTCGGTTAACTCTTGCAATATTTTCATTTTCAATGGATAAAATTTATGGAGTTTAGTAACTGTGTGTACAGAGCCTAATGAAATACCAGTCGTAGCAACAATTTTGAGTAATGAAGGATTTATTGCAAAATGACCCAAAGCTACAACTTGGGCGGCTTCACTCAAAACTGTCCGATGTTCACGTTTTTTATTTGCAACAGATCCAGTTTGAGTAAATTTAGTAACAATGTCCAAAACATACCTATGAGAAGTATAGATGTCTGGCGTTTACCGTGACCGCAGTTTACCGAGCACATTGATTTTGGGTACCATAAATTAGGATCGTTTCCACTCTTTCAGCTAGTGTGTAAACCATTTTGGATGTAAAATCTGAATCAATAAATTTATTTTTACCATCCCAAGATTGTCACAAAGGTAACCGACACCAATTTAAATTCTTTCTTTCCCCTAGCAACAAATAACTAAACAGGTATAACAATAAATACAGTTTGCCCAGGATATCTGTGTTGATGAAAAGAATGCGGAAAAAATTCGGGTTGTTATTTGGTTGTTGCCACGTCAAATCTTCCGAATTGCTATTTATTTTGGTAGCTTCCGTTTTAAATTATAAATGAAGTGAAGATTTGGCAAATCCTAACGGGCAACATTTTGAACAGTTAATGAAATGAAAAGTGGTATTTTCGGATGTTTTTGTTTTCTATCTGAACAAATTAAGATAAATCAAGAGTTTTCTAATTTTAACGAATCGACTGATTTTAAAAACTAAAGGACTGAACA